TGTATTTGTAAAAAATATATTGTAACACTTTTCCAACAAAAAATAAAACTTGTGAAACTAAACACTTGGAATTCATATATTTCAATGTGAATAGAACTATAAAGACAATACCTCATAGCAAGAAAAAATACTTTGTTATTTTTATTGATAATTTTTTTAAAAAGACTTTTATATATTTTATAAATCAAAAGTCAACTGTATTAGATAAATTTGAGATTTTTAAGGTTCTTTTTAGAAAAAAATAGGCTTAGAGATTTAAAAATTGCTAGTAACGATGGCAATTTATATATATTTAAGGCTTTTAAATATTTTTTGGAACAATATGGCATTAAAAAATAATTTTTAATATCTTTTTCTTTAATATTATATAGTTTAAAAATGCAAGAATCAAGCATTAAAAAGAAATTAAGGTGCATGCTACAACATAAACAACTTTCTAATACATAGTAGGCAAAAATTGCTAAAATAGAAGAATATATTTTTATTTAAGTTCATGCTACAATTCACGAAGAAAAAAACCTCATAAAGTCTATTCAAATATAAAAACTTTGATCCAATATTTTTTTGATTTTAAATGTGATAATTTTCTCATATTCTAAATAAAAAAATATATTGAGCCTAATTGTAGGAATAAAAAACATTTCTTACCTATGTTGAAGGTATTAAGTGCTACTATTTGTACAATGTTAAAAATGGATCTATTATTAAGAGACACAATATTAAATTTATTAACTATAAAGACTTTTGAAATAAATAAATAAGTAAATAGACATTTTTATCAATAAATGATAAGATATTGTGGAGAAGATAGAGATTATTAATTCTTTCTCAAAATCAAAAAAATACCAGTGGAGATGTAGTAGGAAGCCTAGACAATGATAAAGATCAATAATAAACAATTATTGAAATTTCATTTTCAATTTAGAGATTCAAACACAAGCTTATATACTTTGATGACAACAAGGAATTTTAAATCTGATTTTAATGCCACTTATACCTTCACCTTTATCAATGATGATGTATGCACAAGTACATCTATTAATAGATAATCAATGATTAATAAATTAACATTGGCTTAGATTTCTTCAAAGTCTTTTACATCTTTAGCATATATGACTCATGTTTTCTTTAAAGTACTAAATAACCTATTAATATCATTAAACTTATGAAAAGAGAGCATACTTGGAAGTAGAAGAAAGCAATAGATTCCAAGTATTAGAGTCTCGTTGACAACAAGACTTGGATTTTTATACCTTTGTTATTAAATATAAAATTAATTGATTGTACACAAATTTTTAAGATCAAACAAAATAATTTTTTTTTTATGGAGTGCTATTAGAAAAGAATAATTACAAAATATTATATACAAAAATATCATATGAATTAAAATAAAACTTTTACTCTAATGGCAAGAATGACCTTTAGGTTTATATATTTTTATAAATTTTTGCTATTGGAGATTTGGATATTCATCAAATAAATATAAAAAAATCATTCTTAAATAAAAACCTCAATATATATATATATATATATATATATATATATATATATATGAATTAATCTATAATTTTTATATATATATGAATTAATCTATAATTTTTATATATATATGAATTAATCTATAATTTATATATATATATATATTAATCTATAATTTATATATATATATATATATATATATATAGATATATATGAAGAACATCTTATTGAATAAAAAAAACTTTGAAGTTACCAAGACATAGCATAACTAAGGTTTCTCACAAAAAGAATATAAAGTAAGATATCTCTCACTTCCAACATCCATTACTTATAGGTGGTGGCTATTGTCCTAATGGATAATTTCATTGTATATGTTTAATCATTGGATGTATAAATTTGTTGGCTACTAAAGCAATTTGTTGGAATAGCAAGAAGTAGTCAATAATTGCATTATCTACCATCAAAATAGATATATATATATATATATATATATAGGTGGTTGCAAAATGGGTGTTTATATTGGATGTTTAAAAACATTAGGTTTTTACTTTGGATGTTTAAAAACATTAGGTGTTTATAAAATAGTCCTATAACTATTTTTAGCAAAAATTGTACATGTAATTTTCTTATAAGGAATCCTACATTCTATGCTTATGCTAAGTATGTTAAAATTCATTATTACTTTATCTATAAAAAGATTGATAGCAATGTCTTTAACTTAGTTTTTTGTACCAGTGAAGACATAATAGCAAATTATAGGGTCTAATTTGTAAAAATATTATAAATTTAAGAAAATGGTGGACATCAACAAATTGAGTTAGTCTAGTAAGTCATTAAGCAAAAGAATTAATAGAATGATTTTCTCTTATTAGACACATGAATGGTTAACATTGTATTTATAGTTGAAAAGTTATAGTTGTTACATTAATGGTGGTATTATCAATTAGCTATTGTAGCCTGCTGAGATATCATACACCCTAATAAGATAAGTATCCACGAGTCAATTAGACCTCTTTCACAAACTATTTGTTATTCTACTCATATTGGGAAGTCTATATAATTATACAATTGACTAATAATATAAGAACTCAAATCTAAGGCTTATTTACTTGTGAACTCCAATTCTCTTGTATTGATATTGGTAAGGTGGTGAATACCTTGTCTTCACATAGTTGAACTTTTATTATTAAGCAATTAAATTCTTCACTCATTAATAAAAATAATATGTATTATAATTAATGAAATCATGTAATTTATAAAATTTATACATAATCTTGAATTTGATGTGAATTTTTGGTTATTCTTATCTATATCATTTAGAACTAGTTTCTTCTTTCATCATAATTACATTGATAATAATCTTTGGTTGCAGTAATTTTGTAACTATCAAAATTTATACTTGGCAAACTAAATATTCTATAATGATTATTTTTCCTTTATAAAATTAATAAAAAAGAAAAACCTCTTATACATTATATTAGTAATTAGGTTTTTTTGTTATTTGATTTTTTTTTTTATTTCTTTCTTGTTTTCTATACACACTAAAACAACCTTAAACAGAAAGCAAATAATTCACATACATACACACACACACATATATATATATATATATATATATATCTAGATGTATGTATAGTTGATTAAGTAAAAAATACAAATAATAATAAATTTATAAAAACATGACGACATTAGAGAAGAAATATGATGAGAACTATAATTCTTACCGCTCAATATATTTTTAGTTATTATTTTCAACAAAAAGGTGGAAATAAAATGTAAACAGACTATGTTCAATGGATATATATATATATATATATATAGGCCTGTATAGATTAATGTAGGCGTAACTATTTTAACAATATTTGTAAACCTGTATTTTAAATATTATCAGTTCAATTACAAATAATTAGAGGACTTTTAAGTACTTTCATTGTAAACTTGGTTTATCAAAAAACTATTATTTTTCATTTCAAAAAACTTATTCTGTATAAATAATGAAATTATAGCCAAAAAAAGAAAGTTATGAATTCAGAAAGAAATTCTTAGATTTTTATAGAAGATACTAAAAGATATCATTATCTTTTAAATGTATATACCAACAATTGATGATTGTGTGTGTTTGTATAAATACATACATGTGTATGTACAAACACTCATGAAGTTGTATATTTTATTTTCATTAAAATAAATATTAAATTATTACAAAAATAGGAATAAAAATAAAACCCCATATAACTTGTTAAGTTGTAATATCAAATTTATCTCTTTGTGTGTACCGTGTGACTTGAAGTAAGTCTACAAAAACGTATCAAAAAAGTTTACAGAAATTTCATATTGGATAAAAGGCGCATATTTGATGTTGGAATATTGAGTGAAACAAGACTCTGTTATTCACTCTGCAGTACTGTCATTCTGATTTCAATTTTGCTATTTCAACTTACCATTGATTTAATTTTAAAATTAATTTGAACATTAAATTTTTTTGACGTCACTTGCCACCAAGGTACTCAAATACATAAATTAATTGAATATTGTGAGTCTCCCTTTGCGTACATGAGCAAACAATACATATTTTTTCTGCACATGATTCAAACAGAGATGCATTCCAATATTTAAATTTTTATTATTTTATTAATTTTCGTTTCTCTATGGATTATTTGTTCACAATATTCTACTATAATGCAATCAAAATCAACATAATTATTTAACAAAAATCACACTAATTCTTCAATATTTTAAAATCTACATAATTTGTTACACAGCTGGAATATATCATTGACCATCTAATTTATTTTAAAATTATCCACCCAATTAATAGAAGATTTTTTCAATCATCATCAAAATTAGTATTATTTAAAACAAGGATACATATATACATGTCTGTATTTAATACATTGAAGAATTAGTGTGACTTTTGTCAAGTAATATATATATACACGCACATGTCTGTATTAAATAATACTTGAATTATTTAACGAGCCCCATTTTTGTTCAATTTGACTGAGTACTGTATGTTCTCAGTCAAGGATTAATATAGGCTTCTCTAATGTTTGGTATGTTTATTGGAATATAAATGTTTGATTTATTTCAAAAAATAAATAATCTATTGCTTGTTTTATAACCAAAATCGGAAGAGAGAAAAAGAAATAAAGAAAGTAAAATATGATGCAACATAGAAAAGCAGAGATGGGACATATAGTAAACATTTCCTGGCCCAGACTTGGATTGTTTGAGGTCCTCAAAAGGAAGAGATGGAGGAAACACAAGAAGAAGGGGATGGGTGGATGAGAGAATTAACAGAAGCAGGGTCATGGTGGATACTTTCATCCGACGATTGCTTCGGCAAGCGAGGCGTCCTTCCATCCTTCCTTCCTTCCTTCATGGTTTGCTATCCAGCAGCGGGAGTTCTTCCCGCACCGACGTGGCAGAGAATAATCACCACACCTTATCATCTGGCTAACAGGAGATAAGAGAATTCCCCCACCCGGCCCGTCCCAAGCGTAGCCCGCGATTACGTCCATTTGCCGCATCTGTCCCCCTCCCCCGCATATAGTCGGGTGTGGTTGAGAAGTAGAGTTTGAGCTGCAGAAGAATTTGAGCTATGGCGCACAGCTATGGCACAATGCTGCGTCCGTCGTCGTCCTTGCTTCAAGCTCCTGCTCCACTGTTCGACCAGGATTGTACCGTCACTGTACACACGCACTCATCCAAGTTTGGTAGCAAGAATTGGTTGTCAGGGGTTCAGCTTGTGGCGGGCAGTTTGAGTGTCAAGCGATCCCGGAGGTCGGCATTGTTGTCGTGTCACGCGGTGGCTACTGTGGAAGCGGAGGGTAGCAATGGCACTGCTCGCATGGATAGTGGCGAGGAGAAAAAGGAGGAGAAGTTGTATGGTCGGCAATTCTTTCCGCTGGCATCTGTGGTGGGACACGACGCCATCAAGTCGGCGTTGCTGCTGGGAGCTGTAGACCAGTGCATAGGAGGTATTGCCATAGCCGGGAGGCGGGGAACTGCTAAGACTGTCATGGCTCGAGGGTTGCACGCCATTCTGCCGCCGATTGAGGTGGTGGCTGGCTCTATGTGCAACGCAGACCCGAACAAACCAGAGGAATGGGAGCAGGGATTGGCGGAGAGGCTGCAGTACAACGATGACGGGAGTATCAAGACGGAGGTCGTGAAGGCGCCGTTTATTCAAATTCCTCTCGGCGTGACTGAGGATCGTTTAATAGGATCCGTGGACGTCGAGGAGTCTGTGAGAACAGGGACGACAGTGTATCAGCCGGGTTTGCTGGCTGAGTGTCACAGAGGAGTGCTATACGTGGATGAGCTTAACCTCCTTGATGACAGTATTAGTAACCTGCTGTTGAATGTGTTGACGGAAGGAGTCAACATTATTGAAAGGGAGGGAGTGAGTTTCAAGCATCCCTGTCGGCCTCTCTTGATTGCGACATGGAACCCTGAGGAAGGCGAGGTAAGGGCTCACCTGCTCGATCGCATTGCAATCAACCTGACCGCGGATTTGCCTTTGTCATTTGAGGATCGAGTGAATGCTGTGGGAATTGCGACGGACTTTCAAAACGCAGCTGCCAGGGTTATGGGAGAATCCGCGGACGCCACAGAGCAGGCCAAGACGACCGTAACCCTTGCACGAGAATGGTTGCAGGATGTCACAATTAGCAGGGAGCAGGTAAAATACATTGTGATGGAGGCCATACGTGGGGGCTGCCAGGGCCACAGGGCTGAGCTTGCCGCTGTGAGATGTGCCAAGGCGTTGGCTGCCCTGGAAGGACGTGATAGAGTTGGTGCTGACGACTTAAAGAAAGCAGTGGAGCTAGTCATTCTCCCACGTTCTATGGTAATGGACATGCCACCAGATCAAGGACCTCCTCCACCACCCCCACCTCCCCCACCACCAAGTAACCAGGATGAGGACCAAGAGGACAAGGAAGAAGAAGAGGAGGACAAGGAGGACGAAGATGAAGAGGATAAAGAAGACCAGGAGAACGAGGTGCCTGATGAATTTATTTTTGATGCAGAAGGTGGTCTTATGGACCCTAAGCTTTTGTTTTTCGCACAACAAATGAACAGGAGACGAGGGAAGGCCGGCCGTGCGAAGAATGTCATCTTCTCTGAGGATCGTGGTCGCTATATTAAGCCCATGATTCCCAAAGGACAAGTGCGGAGACTGGCTGTGGATGCTACATTGCGTGCTGCTGCTCCTTATCAAAAGCTGCGGAGGCAAAAAGCTGAAGAATCTGGGGAATATCGGAAAGTTTTTGTAGAGCAAGGAGACATGAGGTCGAAAAGAATGGCTCGGAAGGCTGGAGCCCTAGTGATTTTCGTCGTGGATGCGAGTGGCAGCATGGCTCTCAATAGAATGAATAATGCGAAAGGTGCCGCGATGCAGCTCTTGGCCGACAGCTACACCAGCAGAGACCAGGTCTCGATTATTCCTTTCCGTGGAAACGAGGCAGAGGTTCTTCTTCCCCCTTCCCGATCAATTGCTATGGCAAGGAATCGACTTGACAGGCTTCCTTGTGGTGGTGGATCTCCACTGGCTCACGGTTTGACCACCGCTGTGAGGGTCGGCATGAATGCGGAGAAGAGCGGGGATGTAGGGCGAATTATGATTGTGGCTATCACCGATGGGAGGGCAAATGTTACTCTGAAGAAGTCTACGGGAGATGAGGAGGCCAACAAACCAGACGCCCCGAAACCTACCCAGAAGGAGCTGAAGGATGAGATACTGGAGGTTGCCGGAAAGATTTACAAAGCGGGTATGTCGTTGCTGGTCATAGATACGGAGAACAAGTTCGTCTCCACAGGTTTTGCTAAAGAGATCGCTCGAGTTGCACAAGGGAAGTACTACTATTTGCCCAATGCATCTGACGCTGTGGTTGCAGCTGCCACAAAGGAAGCGCTCACAGGTTTGAAAAGTCAGTGAAGGGGCATTTTAGGGTCATGATTGTTTAACTTGAGTTACACCACCATCATATGATTGATGGGATTTTGATATAAATTTTTTTTCTTCTTAAATAATTCTTTTGAAGTGAAGAATATCATCTTGAAATTTTGTTTATCCTAATATATTTATTAATCGTAGAAAAATCATGCATGTAAAAGTATGGAATGCATCTATTTTTGAAGATGCATCAATTTGTTAATTTTTTCCGACGTCTCAGTTTTTAATGAATAATGAAAATAGACATTAATTTTGTCAAGTGTGTACAAAATATCATCATTTATATTCACAACGTGGATGAGATGCTAATACTTCATTTATTTCAACTTTTCTTTTTACAAATCTTCTCTCTAGTTTTGATCCTCAAATGTGAAATTTACATGTAAAACATATAATTTGAAGAATGTAAAAAGTCATTCAATTTTTATATAAACCATTCAGGGTGAAGAACGTACGAAATCAAGGTGATGAAACTTAAATTAGTAGAATTGAACAATGTAAAATTTTAGTTAACATTGATACTGTATAGGCAATTGAAAGAATAATATACCAATGATAATAGTATCAATAGACGGTCCTTGTATACACAATGACAGCATTTGAAGTATGTTTTACATACTATCTATGAGACTTTACAATATTAATGTACGTTTTGTAATTTTTAATTGTAAAAAAGACTTTCATGTGAACTCTGGGAATAAAAATCTACTATCGTCAATTGGTTTGAATTCTATGAATCAGAAATTTGACTGAGTTTAAACAAATTTAAAGCAGTATTTATGGTGTATTACCCCAAACCAATATAAAATATTTCAAAAGTAAAGCATAAAATACCTATTGCAAAACATACAAAATCTCTATTATATCATGAAAAATATTCTAAAAAACAATTTGTCAAACACATGTTCATTCTATTCTCTAAAGTTAAAAAATTCCTTGTTTTTAAGATTGTTTTTAAGATTGATCATTTTTATAAAATAGAAAGAGTTTTAACTCTGCAGTTAGATAATATAAGTTGTAATACTTTTGCGGTTATACTTTGAAAAACACATAAACCAGGTTTTGACTTTATAATCATGATTTCAACAAAAGTCTTATAAAAAAATCTTTCATATATTAAATGATAATTTTACTCAATTTTTATCGACTTATTTTGTAAGATTTTAACTGTGATACTAGAAATTACAAATAATTAAATTAAAATATCCAATACAATAAAATTATATAATAAAATCAAACAAAGTGATCAATTTAATTTTAAGAACTAATGATTTAAATTGAAATTCAAAATTTAATATGAAGAGAAAATTTAATAACTTCAAATCAATGTGAAAGACTTTGAAGTAAATTTTATAATAATTTTTTTACTATCTAGATGAAAACTGTTTTAAGCCACATTAAAATATAAAAAACTTAAAAATTAATTATACTATATTTTGAAAATCTTTATTAAATATTTTTTATAGATTAAAGAATAAAAGAAATTAATAAAGAAATAAAGAGTTAAAAAAATTCAAAATAACTATGAGGTTGTAATATGGTCTTTTATTTATTTATTTATTTATTTCTAGAAAGAATATTTCTACAATGTATAATGACTTTAAAATAAGTAAAACTAATCTAAATAATATCATGTGTAAATTTGTAATTCAATTACTATCAATTATCTAAATTCATGTTTTAAAAATGATTTCAAGTTCTTATGAATTTTTTACTATGCATTTAGGATTGGTTCTTATTTGATTAAATTTCTTAAGTATTTAATATGGATGCAATAAGAGTAAGAAACTCTTCCAATGTGCTTACTAAGTACCTTTTAAAAATGATTGGAACCAACATTCCTTTATTTTGTCTTTGTACTATTATCATAATATTATCAAGTATACTTTGTTCTTTTCTTAAATGATTTATGAAGTATTTTGTGGAAAAACTAGACCATAGCCACAAACTTTTATCCTATTCTTTTGTTCATTCTATTTACTTCATATTGACTAAGAAACAAGAGAAAGTTGTCACCAAATTATTTGATTTTGATGTGCATCTCAAAAACCTCTAGACTCACTTATCCAATATAGATGATGAAGCAAAAGTACCAATAAAGAAATTGTATAATTTGCACCAAAAGAAAAATTTCAAGAAATTAGCAAACATAACTCAAATAGATGTATAGTTGAAATATTTCAATTTAGTGTCTTTTTTATGCAAAGTAAAAAAAAGATATAAATAGATATGTCTTATGTTTCTTCTTTGTCCATTCCAAACCCATAAAACTTTTGCATACTTACCATGAGGTATTCCTTTTATATGCTACATAAAAAACTAATAAGACCAATTTTATTTTGGACTCAATATTATTAAATTCACAATTTTTTATACATTGTTTTCTTTAATCTTTGTCTTTATGAAAATCAATGAAGAATGTTCATATACCATCACCATTATGTTTTTTTAATGGCTTTTCTATTCCAATCACATAACAAAAGTTTTCATTGTAGATTAGAAGCTTGCTTTGATGAATACCTTAGATGATTAGTTTGCAGATGTTGATATTTTGATTTATATTTGGAACATTGAAAAAAATAGATTTGCAAAATATAAAGAATGTTTTCTTAACGAGTCAAGCAAATTTTTACTAATTTTAAAAAAATTAAATATTGATAAGCCTTTAACATCATTATCCATAATTTATTTCAAAATTTTAAATAAAATATAATTGATTTTAATCTTTTCTTCTCATTGATTAAATCATAAATAGGATATTAAAAAAGAGCTCAATAAGAATCGGTCTTTTCTACAATAAAAGTACTAAAATTTATCTAATATTATTAAATACCTTTGAAACACTTAGATTTTGCCACACAAGAAAAAGTTTCTTAATATATTAACAAACTTAATTTGGTACTTTAGGCACCATATAATATTATGAAGAAAAAGAGCTTATAGCAAAGTAAAGAATATATGGCAACCAAAAGAGAGAATTTGATGAATTGTTATGAAGCTATTAATCAATCTATTCAAAACTTACATATTGAATATTACTCAAAACTAAGAAAGCAATAACTAAAGATTTTAATCTTTGCCCAACCAAATCCCATGTAGATATGCCTTTCAAATTGTTAACATAAAAATCTCCTACTATGTTCTTTGAAAAGTCCATGTTTAAGTAAGGGAATATTAATTTTTAATTTTTTTGAAGTTCTTAATATTCATGTTATAACTTCTTCTTTTTTGTAATTAGAAGGTGCTAAAATCTTACTTATACTAAAAAAAAAAAAAAACATATAAAAAGAAAGATAAGTTTTATAGTATTTGCAAATAAATTGGAGATTATTAGATATTGAAGCTATGCCTACCATTAAGAAGAAGAGTTTCCAAAAAATACTAATAATTAAGACTATGGCTTCAAATTCTTTCTTTTTTATAATTATTATTAGTATATATATATATATTTTTAACAATCTATGTGATTGATCTAAGGTCAAACAACCTTTGTGCTACTAATTACTTATCAAGTGATAAAACATATGAGTCATGTGAGCCTTCAACAAGTAGAAGTAGATGGATATTAAAATGTACCTTAGGAGATAGAATTGTAAGGTGAAAGGAAAATGATAACAACAAATTTTGATGGCATTAAGTTCTTGAAAAACATATGCTCTCATCAATATATATGTAGAATATATTGCATTAGTTTGTTGTTGCCACTTTTGGTAGTTATTTGTTTAATTATCCAAATACTTTAATCATCAATTCAATCCCAATTAATAGACATATACTTCTTAAAGGCCAAGTTGAATGGTACAATAATAAATAGTTTTAGAACATTAGTTAGATAGAAATGACTTTGTTTTGTAGGAGATCCTAATTTGGAATTATAGGATAAAGCTTACATGAAATAATATAGGAACAAGTCACTATAAATAAGTGGATCATCTTAATGGCATTGTTGTATTTTATAAAAATTAGCTTTAAGATGCACTAGACATTTAGATATGGAAGGATTTAATTTTACCTTGAAATTGGATTTCAAATCCAAAAAATAATACATAATATGTTTAAACACACCTTTTTAGCAATCTTAAACGACCAAGTAAGCTTCCAATTATGCTAAGTATCACTTATCAATCTTAAAAAAAATTATAGAAGAATCTTCTTATACTATAATCAATTCTAAATAAACCTTAAAAAATATTCGAAAATCATAATTGAATCATACAAAAAAACCTAACCAATCTTTAAAAAACTATAAAGAAATCATAATAAAATAAATAAATAAATAACTTAAATTAATCTTAATCAAATATTAGTCAATCCTAAAGAAATTTTAAGTAAATCCTATTTGAATCCATTCTTTAATAAATTATAACCAAATTTTAATCAAATTCTAACCTAAATTTGAAAAAATTCTGAAAATTGAAATTAAACATCAAATAAATCATAAGAAATACTACTTAAACTCTAAATAAATTTTATAGAAAATTTAAAATTTCAATAATTTTTTTATATAACTATTGAACTTGATTCAGATTCTTCACACTTCTTAATTTACTAATTGAAAACAAGCATACAAAGTTTGAAGAGAATCAAACTAATAGATTAGAAGAAAATATTCACAATTTACTTTGGTGTTGGTTTTCGTCCTTATTCAACCTTAGTGTCAAACTTCTAGCATTAATATCTCATTTTTAAACATCTTAATTATTTTCAAAGTCTGCATAAATATTAAAAGTAAGTCATAGAAAACAACCTTTATTTTGCAAAACCCTTATAAAATCATCATCAACTAAAATCCATCAAAACCAATACTCTAAAAAACCTTATCAAATTTTCTCTTTATCTTGTTCTTTGATTAATAAAATAGGACCATATTTGCTATAGGTGCACGTTTTTGTGCCTGAAGGTTTGATTTTGACCTTGATGCACAAGTGATCTTCTATGTGTACGATCTAAGATTTTTTTTACATAATTTTTGCTAAAAGCTACTTAAGACTTCTACCAATATATCTTAATTGGTAGAACTATTAAAAATATAGTTTTAAGTTATTTAAATATAAAAATATTAGGATTAGAGATTTTTTTTTTTTATGATTTATGTATTTATTAGAACTAAGAAATGTTTATAAAATACAAGGATCTTATTAGAGAAAAAGTTATAAAAATGGAGTTACAATAAGTCTCAGAAGCAATTATCTTATTTGGATTACTATTAAGTATTAATGTTTAATTATTGAAACCAATGTCTAAATTTTCCTTCTATCTATATGTATTAATTATAAAAAATTATAATATTAATTAGTAGTAAAAAAAAAAAAAAAAAAAAAAAAAAAAAACATGAAAAAGAACTTCATGTCTTTTTAATTATATATGTAAAAAATAAGATTTATATTTGATTAAAATTCATTTTATTACTATAAAAAATCACGAAGGTAAAAAAAGAGAGGCTTAAATTGATATTTGTATTATAAAAAATATATATTTATTTAAATTTTTATTTAAATTTTATTTTTAAGAAATTTTTTTAAAAATTAGAAAAAATTTCAAGACTCAAGTAAAATTGACTTTTACTACTTTGGAAGCCATTATAAAGGAATGGAGGAAGGTTTGAAAACCATACATGGTTCTTAAGCTAATTGGATGTTTTTGATCACCATGGTGAAGTCAAAAGTATAGAAAAATAGTTCTACATATAAAAAATAGGAGGACCAAGAGTTAATATAGTCCTTGTAGGAAGGGAAGTGTACAAGTCATGTATGGGCTGTAACACTTTGGAAATAGGTAGGAGGATAAGACTAAGGCCTCAAGGTCTCTCTATAACATGTGAGTCTTAATCAGGCTTGAACTTTTGATCTACAAGCAAGTTATCTTTGTCATAAAATATCTTTATCTAATTTTTTAACTATTTATCTCTCATCTTTAAATCTTTGTAACTTATAGTAAATTGGATTTATATTTCTTTTTAATGTCATTGGAAAGATAATAAAATTTCCTATCTAAAAATATAAGTTATTTTTTATTTTTATATTTTAATAGATGAAAATCTAGTGAGCACACTATGACTATGCTTTAGAGTGTGTACTTGCTTGAATACATTTATTTTACTTGTTTTATATTTATTCTTCTTTTGTTTGTGTTAATTGTTTGTCTCACTTCACACCACCAATTAGAAGCAGCTCTTAGTTGAGATCATCTGATAATTTGAATTGAAAGGTGAATTTTACCTTCACACTATTCTCTAGTTTTATCTAGTGATGCATATTTTATTATTTTTTTCTAATTTACTTTATTTTGTCTTGTTTATGGCCTCATACAATAAGTAAAAACTCTTTTCACAAAAAGATAACGTTAAAACTAAACTAATTTTACTACATCCTTAATTTTTAGATGTGTTTCTTAAGTAATTTGCTACTATCTTTACAATTTAGCTTATATGTTATAATTTCTCTTTTTCTCTTCACAACATGACAACATTACATGTTTTTGCCAAATTCAACAAATGAGTTTGTAGCCAGAATGATATCTATGACCATAGCAATAATATTTGTGGCCTTAACTGAAACCTTATTAGTTTAGAGCCGATTTTATATTTCCAGCAACTGAATAATTAATATTTGAATTATGTATGATATTATTAATCACGTTTTATCGAAATATTAATAGCACTGTAAGTTATATGTTGTAACCTAATAAGAATAATATGTTGTAAACATTTCAAATTTACTTTTACACATTCTAAAGTTACAGCAATTTAACCAGTTAGTGAGGATCACAGAATTGGATGTCTATTATTATGTGGTGCAACTGTATCTGTGACCAGAATTCAAAATTGAATACTATCCACTCAAAGAATTAAGAAGTTTGAGGCAGTTAGTCTTCGATTGTTCATGCAAATACTTGAAACGGTTGAAACCAAGTGATGTCTAGATTAAGTATTCTAAACTAGGAACTAACATTCTTTGTTTCACACTAACTTCGGCTGCAAACCAGCTCCACTTCACAATGTTCACTTCGCAGAATGCAACTTTAGATTTCCATGTTGCTGATCTTCCACACAAATATGAAATAAGAATACTAAGCCAGCGACCATATGGTCTCGTGCTTCGATGATTGTAACTGCATGGTACACTTCCACAAAAGGGATAGTCTAGTCCTCAAAAGAAAAGGTTTAAGGAATGATTTATAGCACAGTTCTATAGCACAGTGTTAATATGCAACGCCCTCAAAAGAGAGTATGCCATCTGCTTCACCAGCACTTGACCGCCTGAACGCTCACCGTCACGACGATCTTCAATCAATCTTTGTAGCTTAGTTGGCAAATCATGTTCCACAATTAATTGCTTTGGGCGAGGGTGGTGTTCGTAAACAGCCTGCTCATCCACGTTCCACAACAAGGCCAGAATGAAACACATTTAAAAAATATTAAATCACAAAGCCGAAGTGGTAGTTCTCGACAAAAATAAATAAACAATCAAGTAGGCAAATTATTGATTGATACCAAGAACGGAAAGAAAATGAAGCTCATATTCGCAAACACAAGTATTGTTACGGCCTAAAGCAGAAACACGAAGCTTAAATATGAAATTTAGTCAGGTGGCGTACTCTGATCAACTTGAGCAGGGTGAGTCGAGCTATAGCATCTTGGTTCTCGAGACGTGCTACCAACAATGGTGTTAAACCGGAGACTGCCAATGCAGTGTTCAACCTAACTGATTTGCTGCCATCAGAACCACACCAAGAAAATTCAAAAAAACCAGCTACACTGGCACCAATGATTACAATGTGCTTCTCAATAGATCGTAATGTCAGCATCTCATGTTGCTTGCAAAGCCTCAGAAGGCATAACAATGTACTGTAAAATAGAACCTTCGAGGTACAGGCTGCCTGTAACTGTTATCAATTCAGTTTGCAATTTAATCTAACAAGCATTTTCTGAAGGTTGATATGCAGGTTTATAAATATACTAAACGGAAACGTACGGTATGCAACTCATGAGAAAGCACTATTAATTGTTATAAGAAATCTCAGCATTGTACACAAAGATGAAGCAATTCACAAAAAGGTCTGACATACCTAATAATTTTAAGAAATGGTTCGAGAATGTGAACAAAAGAGGGGGCCCCACAGGACTGAAAGAAGGCAACCAGTCTCTGCAAAGCGTCTTTCTGTAGCAATGCTTGTTCCACCTTCCGCTGCTCATTATCATGTGCCAGACACACAGCCAAGGAGTCTAGCGCAGTCACTGCCCAAACCTCGTCATCTAGAAGACTTAGATAAAAGTCCAAGCCCCTGTTGGTTCGTAGTAATTCCCTGTAGTTTGCCATGGAAAAGCAAAGTTCCAAACTGATATCACAAAATGATCCTCTACTTCCTCAATCTCACTCCAGATATTAGATTAAGAAGAAGAGAAAGCAATTATCTCAAAAAATGCTGATTTTACTTTGGCAATAAAAGGGAGTACAAAACAAAAATTAACTGTCATGTGCGTTAGGAGATAAACCCAATAGCACACATGAGCCATGTAGTGTAATAAGCACACCTAGTAGTCCGAGAAGCATGAGCCATGTCGCATAGTAATGGAAGCGCAAATTGCTTCAGAGGCGAATTTATCTTTATGAAATGCATCAAATGAGGAATAATGCCACATTCCGCTGCCTGCTCTTGTCGCCGCTTGTTAATTTTGCATAGGTTGTGCAATGCATTTAGCACCTGCATGTAGAGGTCATAGCAGTGAGTGGTTCATTGACCAGATATCATGCAGACACAGCCAAGCAACGCTACGTGCAGCACGACTCAGAAACATGTCAAAAACGCTATCCAGCTCATCATCCCTTTGGAGTAGCTAACAGAGGGATTAGCTTTACAGATACACCTGCATACCTGGTTGTGAATCCGACCCACATAAGGGCCATCACGAGCCTCAAGAAAAGGGATCAAGTGCTTCATTGCCTCTGCAAGTTGCAAATACTCAAGTGTGAACGGATCTTGTGATAGCTGCTTGATGCACTCTAAAATCTGCACAATGAAGATAAACCTTCAGGAGACAACGAAACACGACAATTAATTGAACTTCAGTACGCATTCTCTAAGACCGTAGTGATTACTTTACTGCGAGATTTGGTAATACAAGTCCACCATCAAATTCCTTTTCATGTTCAGTTCAAGTGTGATTTACCCAGGCCCGTCGTCAGTTTATACATCCAGTAACGAAAACTCACATAACATTTCCATCACCTAAGCTAATCATAGTAATATTCATACATAAGACATAACTAACACGTCTACAAATTTCTGCTAAACTAATTTCAAGAGTAATCCACACTGGTTGTTTGAAAATAACACGAAAAGCAACCAAAGATAGCAAAAGAAAAAGAATTGGGGAAGAAAAGACAAACCCATGGCACCTTTATAAGTATTGGTGGTGGTAGTGTATTAAGCATCTGAAGAAGACGCTGCAAAAGACTTGTGCTACACATGTGCTTTTTAACAGCCGTATCTGCACGAGAAAACTCCAGTAACAAATTTGCCACCTTCCCCAGGTATTCTTGAGCTTCCTCAGGATTATGTGTTTCCTGCAGTCGAGATAGCTGACCTGATGTAGTTTGAGAGGTAGAACTTGACGTGTTGGCTGCAGGTTCTGCCTGAAACCAAACCACATAGCACAACCATCCCCATGAAAATGAAATACATTTAAAAAGAATTATACAAACACTGATTGCACTCAATCCATAAAAGTACATTATACCCATATCTACTAAATCTACAAACTTCCATACCAAATTGTTGGTCTAATAATTACGAACATAAGACTGCGAGTGGAAACCTGGAGTGAACAGTTACTGAAAGAAAACTTACTGTATTTGATAATGCTCCTGAAAGCTTTAGATTCATACGGGCTGATGGTGATGGGGAAAGCTTGGCCGATGGTGAAAGGAAGCCAGTGCCACCCCACCCATATTTTGGAGAAGGAATATGACTCATCTCTAAAGTCCCACCTAACTTCTCATTGTCTGCACAGCATTACAGTATTTATAAGAATGCAGGTAAAGCCGCAACTTTCTACAACGCAAGTATGCCAAATCACGGATAGCTAATAAACATCAAAGAAGAAAATCACTCTCTAAGAAATGGACGATGCGAAAGCAGTAATCTCGATGTCGGATGTGCTACATGATAGTCACATTGGCACTGAACAAGACCAGAGGGTGATGGTAAGAGAGAAAGGAAAGAAGGATTTCTAGAGATAGAGAGGTTATACTCGCAGTCAGAGGTTATTCTGCGAACAACTCATTCTGCGAGGCACCAGTTGACCCGTTGAAGTCGTAAAGGAGTTCTGGTACAACAAATGCAACCCAGACTAAACATATGAACCTACTATCAATGACGAGCCAATAACATGTCTGCGAAACTAGCTTTGATTCAGTCTAAATTACCATTCATTTTTCGTACAACTCCTGAATGATGTAGTGTCGGCAATACGCTCTCTCTGACTGAGACTTGTTTCAAAGGGTCAAGAAGCCCCGAAACAGGCTTCATATGAAGATCCTTGTCGATAAGATTCAAGATAGATGGAGAGTGCTGCATTTACATCGATTGTAGCTTAATCAGACAGATTACCAAATAAATATAAAATATGGAAACCAGATCAGTGAGTACTATTCATCAAATTAAGATTAAAGTTGACAATGGACACAATCTCAACATACACTAACTAATACGGATAGACTCGATATACTTGATATTAATGCCTAGGTTCGGCAGCTTCACGCATATTCCCAATAATAAAAATATATCTAGCAGACGCGCGCTTCTGATACCGCGAAAACTTTCAAGTGAGAACCAACCTCGTCAAGATGAGAAGTATCCACCAACCCATTCATACACCTAGGTGTACCCCATGCTTCATCCGCCAGAAGCGGCCTTGCCTCACCATCTGACCTTGCTTCGTCATCTCTTTCCCTTCGACAACCATCACCACCCAAAACCCACGTACTTTCTCCGTAGCCTGGTTGAAAGGGGTCCGAGAGTCGCTCAGATGAAATCGCCAGTTTCATATGAGTCAAATGACCGGAATGTTGCCCAGTATACTCCAACTGTCCAGGTAAGTTTTGCCACGAAAACTCAGGTAATCCACATGCCCGATGGGCCTGCCAAGGCAGCATCCTGGACGAATCTCCATTATTTAGTCCAAGCAGATTTCTCTGGTTACCATCGTGAGTTACTCGTACGGGGGTGTGATCCAATTGTCCAGAACGAGACCGGAAAACTTCCTTATTGACAATTCTTGACTGATCTATAGGGCCTGATTGCGACTTTACAAACGCTTTTTCGCTGCTGAGCGGACGAGATTGCTCAGTGGTCATTGATCCATTAGGCACCCGAGAGGCCTCGTTAAGAGTATGAAGAGTGTCAACTAATCGAGCAAGTATACTGCTTCTTGCAAATATGTGACAAAAATCATTTTTTAGGCTTAATCCTGGAAGTTCCAAGACCTGCCAGATACCATCAATGGCCATATGCACCATTTCCCTGCATACAAGATACAGAGGCATCTTAGAAAAAGCTATAAGCACGACCTTCAAGCATGTAGTCGGATCAAGTACTGACTCCCATTTCAATCAAACATAAATATGACTTCACTGACTTGTTTACGGGTCTACAAAATCTCGTTGTTACCTTCTAACTCGTAGATTGTGAGTGAGTTAGATTCTGTAAGGAATTATTCAATTAATAAATCTTACTGTTTGTCATTGATTTTCATATCCTAAAAATAAAAATAAAAAGGATTCATTTGCAAAATAAAACTAACAGGTGTATGAAGGTGACTACTAGGTTTTAGATCTTGTAGCATCTGTAAACTGGAAGTAGGAATAATACAGACGACCTGACCTGTGTCTTGCGTAATCTTTCTCCAAGAGACCAACTAATACTGGGAGGCCCCGGCATGCGATGAACATTTGTAGAGTCAAAGAACTGCATCAAACCCAAAATAGAATTAGGACAAATGTAATGCCTATATTGCAGACGTAATAAATGTGAAAGATTCACTTCATTTAGCACAAAAGAACAGTTGTAGAGAATTCACGTATAAACCCAAAAAATTTGCACTGCACAACTTCATTGCAAAGCAACTAGGAGAACAAAAACCCAGCATCTTACACAAGTTTACAACCTAACTTATTGATTAACATTGAAACAAGAATGTAGTAAAACCACCTTTTGTGGCAAATTTTCTGTACAAAGTATGCTGCCTGCATGCGCATCTCCTTTGAACACTCCGGACTTGCAAAACTCATCATTATAGGAATCTGAAGAGCAGCATAATTATATTAATAGTAGTGACCTTCGGGAAAAGTCGAGTCATATTCATGAGTTTCTGCTACCATTCGTTCTAGAAATAATTTTCAAACTAAAAAAATACAGAAACTGACAGGAGTAGCAATATAAAAGCCAATTTCTAGCACAAGCATGTACTAAGCATAAAACAAAATAGACGACAAGACTCACCAAGCCAGCACGACAAGCACTTTCTAGAAGTTCAACATTGTCGTCTGTGATCAGGTTCAACACTTGCAATACTGCATGTATGACCTGTTTAAGAAAATTCAACATAAATGAATTCATAGAAGAGGCTCGTTACAAGATATAAACAAATTTGTACAAATAATACAAAATCACGTTAACACAAGAAATGCTGTACCCTATTGTTGTTCATATCCAGCATGTCCATGAGTGGAATGAGGCCATGGGGCTTCATAAAATCCTGTTTTTGTTTTGGAAATTCTCGAAAGATGCTGGATAGCTTCTGACAAGCTGCAAGAATGACCTCCTCTGTCTCATCTAATTTCAGCATTGCCATCAGCCGACTTACTTCTAAGGCCTGCACAATACATTTATACATCAAACTGGGTCAGCAGCCCATCGGTCGAACTACAATATGGCAATGTACAAGAGTATGCAAAAGCAAAATAACTTATCCACGAAGACAAGGAGTTGAAAAGAATAGATGGAAAGGAACGAATCGCAGATCCTGTGGAGGTACGATGCCATACGAATTGCCCATAGTTCTAAAAAAATACAAACTCGCTAGCTAGTACTTGTAAGTTAAACCAAAATTACCTGTTTGGCTAAGTACTCACTACCCTCTGTCCTGATCACCATGCCCTGCATCAAAGAACGACAAAATGATTAGTTCAATATCACCTCAAACAATTAATGTACTTAATAGGCTTCCAGATTCTGCTACACGATGACCTTGGAGCAAAAATGTACGAACACCCTTACATATTGTAAGAATGCCTAAGAGTAGAAATTCCGAACACATCTTATCGACGTAGCTTACCAGGCCAGTCCTGACACTATCATCATCATCAAGATCGATTGAACTTTCATATCCATTTGTTTTTGCAGTTAATAAACTCTCGGCTTCAGCTTGACTCTGAGCCGTCTTGGCCTTCATCTTTGCAGCAGTGGCATGAATTTCTAAAGAAGGGCCTCCACGAGGAGGTAAGCCATGATTAGGGACGGCTGGAACTGAAGGAGAAGCTTCATGTGACCCAAAGAAAAGACCATTTGTATTGTCATCCAATGGTCCGTCAGTAAACTTGCTGGAATGGACAGTAGAAGGTTTTACTGCCTGCATGTATTTGAAGAATTTCAATCAGCACACGAGAATTACGGCAACTAAACAGACAGTGTGAACCACGTTTTAAGGTTTTACAATACGAAACAGTTGGATCCAACGTTCACACAGTTCCTACAATTCTATGGCAATTGTCTCAAGGACATACGAAAATGTGCAAGTACATGTGATAACCGCCATTGGTAAATCGTGTACACCTTACTTGATAGTACTAATGCCACTCATAGAAAAAATATGGCATCTCCCAACCCACCATACGCACCATAAAGAGAGTTCGACAAAGACAAAGGGGTGGAGATAAGATAACGAGACCTGCGTTGATACATGATTTCCATTTACTTCTGTTTTCATTCCATGGATATCATTTTTCCAAGTACAAATTTCTGTTCCCGACAAGGAGTCTTTCAATTCCGCATCCTTTTGACCTGGAAGAAGATGAGAAAATTTTCCAGAAGTACTCCGCATCACATTTGCTTCACATTGAGCATGCTCCTCAGGGCCACCGGATGTCCTTCGAAGGACTGTATTATGCACAAGCGGCTCTGGGGACTCTGAAACCCGTGAACCTGCAGGAGGTCTGGTTAATGATGTAGTTACCGTTGGAGGTACTCTTATAGCAGTGGTGGACATGTATGTTTCGAGTAAATCTTGATCATGACTTCCCGGTAGTCGAGGGAAGTGAGCAATGCCATGGCTTGGGATGCGAAGAGGGGCACGTGGACCAGTGCTGTTGCTTTGGCTACTGCTTGCCTCGAGACTAGTCGTCAGAGAATTGGCATTGCCATCATCCTAATAATAGTAATAACCCAATGAGAAGCATTCTCACAGTAATAGCCTCAGTAAGAAGGTTTCTAAAATTATGATTCCGCCACTCAAAACATAATCATCACTGTAGATTTCACTCTCGGGGCACCAAACTACCCTAATAAATGGGTCCAATCAATAAAATGTGAGGTGGTTGTCACAACATAAAAAGTAAAAACAAAATTAGTCAGCGCACTTACTGAGCCAGACTCAAAAGGATCCCTCGTGTGTGCATCTTCCGACGCTGGTTCTGCATTTTGTGTTCTACTCTCTTCACTAGTGGCATCTTCTGTCGATGGAATCCCTCGAGGTACACTGCCGCATAATTTACCGCCTTAACTTCAGTCCAAGGTTATTTCGTGTAAAGCAACATAATCGTATAACCTTGCTGGACTATTATTGCTCATTCTACATGGTTCATCAAATTGTAGAGCAGTTAAAGATACTCAAGAAGCAGCACAAAGATTAGAAGAGAACCTGACTACTCCATTCCGTTTCTCCCGCCTTGACTTTCGAATCCATGCATGACCCAACAAAGTTTGTGCATCTGGTCGTCGTTTTGCGTCCTGAACCGACATATTTGGTGCATCCAATACAGTAATTCAGAACTAAACCATCCCCTGGACCCTAAATTTGCAAGGCTGTAGTCCCTGTTTCAAACTACCATATGCTGAGAACGTATCAGGTAATAAAAAGCAACATTAAAAAAGACTAAATCCATACCTTTTGAAAACACTGGCGAAGAAAATCTATAATAACTTCAGATACATGTTCTGGTAAGGGCGGATGATCGTCCTGCCAACTCACGGGTATCTTTAGTAACCAGATATCCACATTTCATCGTCCTTGCACCTCAAACAAGTGGAGAAGAATTGAATTATTCCAACCAGAAAAATAGGTATAGAATCTATACATCATATATGCAGTAGTGTCATAAAAAGACAGAAGTGAAAAACTTTGAGAACTGGAAGAAATATTTAAGAACAAGAAAGGGAACGAAATCCAAGGCAAAACATAAACAATCAGACATATATGAAATGATAAAGAAGAATTTTCTTCGTGGGATCTCATAAAGAAATCACCTAAGAGGATCATATCCGCTTGTTTTTTTTAAATGCTCTCTTCTCGACACCAAGTAAAAGGACGTAAATTTTCGAAAGTGCTTATCAGAAGCCTACCGTAACACCAGATAAGTGCCGAAAACACACACACACAAGGAGAGGAAGAAGAAGCACAATAGGCTGGTTTTTGAAAGCACCTGTACAATACGAAAGAGAGCTGGCATGGGTTGCAAGTCGTAGTATGGTGGGACGCATGTAAGCAGCTCGATTACTGTGCAGCCCACGCTCCAGATATCTGACGCAGCGCTGACTCCCGACATCTCAATCACCTGACAGATTAACTATTTCTGTCAGCTACTCTTTGAAACGTCCACGATAAATAAGCAAATTTAGTGACAGAATAGTAGCTATACTAATATGAAAAACCTCTACTAAAAAGAAAAACAATGTTGGGCAGAAAATCACTGACCTCAGGAGCCATCCAATAAGGAGTGCCAACAACAGAATGAGTGTTGATGTCAGCCTCGGTTAATTTGGTGGCAACTCCAAAATCTGCGAGTTTCACCTCCCCCTGTTTAGACAATTTCCATCAAGGCATCAGACATGCAGTTCCAGATACACAAAAGCAAAAAATCTACAAATAAAACTACAGGACACGTTACTCGGCAAGGTATTCAAAAGATTGCAATTTAAGAGCAGCTCGACCCAAAGGGTAAGTATTCTACCTCCTTAGTGGTCAGTATGTTGGCACCCTTGATGTCACGATGAATGACACCCTGCTCATGCAAGTAAACAAGACCTTCCAAAACCTGCAAACTTATGCCAAATCAATCAAAACAATTAAAATGGAATTATATGATACCTTCCAGTAACCTACACACTACACACAAGATCTAATACCAAACCACCACATGACTTTTAATACATTTAGATGAAAATTTTCAAATTTCAAAATCAATGTAGACAACCTACTACATATGAAAGTTTATAAGAGAATATGTCTTCAACAAAAGAGGTTATCTTTCAAAACACAAAGATCATTAGATCACTAACATATTGAAATACAATGATCCTTTTGCCAATAATATCAATCATTTTGCAACCTATTCAGAAAAATGTTGTAGATGTGAAAACGGCAGAGTTCAAATAGAGTCTATAATGAGCAGGCATCTCATATTTAAAAGTAAATCTGAAACACAAGTCTACCAACAATGAACAAATAAATAGCATCCTGGGAGAAAGAGCACACCTGGGCAATGTAACGTCCCACAACGTTTTCAGGAAGGGCCCCAAACTTGTTGGGTTTGATATTATTAGCCAGAGATCCATTTTCTACAAACCTGGATCACAAAGACACAAAATATCCAATAATCAACCTCCAAAACCACTTCAAGTACGAAAAAACTCTTCCAGTGCAAGTGATATTTTTGTAAAAAAACGCCGCCACTGCCTCACAATAGACGCTGTTTATTCATAGCCTCTTCAGGCACCGGGTCAATAATTCTGACACGCGGGGATAAAAAGAACTGAACAAAGATCCAGGAAAATAGCCCCAATTTCACAGTTGTTACACACGTCTCAGACATCACACAATCATGAAGCAACAACCAAAAATTCTGAAAATAAAATTGCCACTCACTCAAGAATGATATAAAGATGTGTTTTAGTCTTGAAAGAGCCTTGATACTTCACTATGTTCCTGTGGTTGAGATTCTGCAAACACGGCCATAAATAAAACGATATTATAAAACAGAACTTTGAAATTTTCAAGAACTGCAGTATTTGAAAAACAAAAATCTGAAAAAATTTGCAAAAAAGAAAACTATTATGAATCCTTTCAAAAGTTAAAATCAGTTCAGTTCAGGGAAATACCTTTAAAAGGTCGATCTCTGACTGTATTTTCAATCAACGCATAACCAAATTAACTCCGATCAGACACATATTCGAAGAAAGTGTTTCCAGTGGCATTTATTCTATTCATATGCTTTAGCAAACCGCCATGTTTTCCATAAGAAAAAAAACACAGAAAAAATGACAAGAATTGGAGTTCCAAGATATGTGCAGGTACATGTAGCGATATACGTAAGACAATACTACAACCATTAAAGACGTAATAAAGTGACCAATGAACATCTACGACTCGCTGGATATTTGAACTAACCTACGATGATTTTTTCTACTCAGAGGACATTGGAGGAAAAGCTTGAGTAATTGGACAAACATTTCCGTTTAGAAGATCATGAAACTTTTCAGAACAATCAAAAGCTACATATGCCAACACAAAATGCCTTCACAACAGCTTCCTAAAGCTTCACTGCGAGAACTGCTTATAGCCACAGGGATTGCACAATAAGGCTGGAGTGTATTGATGTCCCAAAATAATGCGTGCACTTACTCGAGAACCTAAACTTATCTTGATAGTCCAAGTACTCACCATAATGCTAGCAAGATCCTCTGGCGGGATATTCTCCAGTGAGACCTGCTTAATAGCCACAAAATCGCCATTCTCCAAGTCCAGCCCTTTGTACACTCGCCCATATGCACCTTTTCCGATTTCATCACCAAGCATCTGCCAGATACAATTCGTCGGATCAAAAAAGCAGAAATGAAAGCCAGCCTCGAGTACATGAAACCAATAGCAATTAACAACAAGTAGGAGGCCAAATCTGCATAGTGATTCTACTTGAGAGCTTCCAAATTTGGCACAAGGGCTATTTTTCTAGTCCTTTTCAATCAAAACTGAGACTCGATTGGAGCGTATCCATAATTTAATCGCGGTCTCCCTAAATGTTATCCGACATGTTTGTGCTCCCAAGCTAATTTACTTGCTTGTAATTGGCACTCACATAACCTCTGGACTGTGAGCACGACCTTAAACCTTCTTTCAACAAGAGTGTTCTCTTACATAAATATTTTAATGCACATGATTGCACAAGCTTCCATAGTAACGAACAAGGAATTCATACATATTTGTCATTGAGAGTTTTCGACTTGTGGAACGCCGAGCCCGAGGTGTGGCGCGACATTGTGTCCACCAATTAAATGTCTCCCTTTGATGACTTCTCTCATTGTCACCTCATGGAATACTGACGCCCAACTGAAAACCTCAACCGTAAGATCGCGTCCCGATCATCTTCTGTTAGCTCAGTCATGCTGCACCCACTGCCAGGTTGTAGATACTCCTTGAAATGCTTTCGTTACCGATCCTCCTTCACCTTTGCCCGTCGCACATACAAGGCACGCAGCAGATTGTCCCTTTACGAAGTCGCTACTCGTGCTTCGAAACTTCAATTCTCTCCGGATCTCAGACAATGAGAATGTGTTATTTGATTGCAAAGAAAGTCGTGAACATAGGACATAAAGTCTCAAACCGAATTTGCCGCTCCCCACCACCCCAAATACCATTCAAAACGTATGAGAACATGAAAAGGAAAATCTTCCATTTCGGATCCTCATAAGATCTTCAAGTTGACACAAATGACAGGAAAAAGTAGACTCCACAACACACGATCCCAGGCAGATGATCGAGATGCTTGTTTCACAATGAGGTCCGTCAAGGAGATTAGCGCCGATATCTTCGGAACAATAGTTCCATATTCAGAGGCTGACAGGTCCTTGATCACTATTAATCCAGTAACAGAAGTATTGCAAGCGCTCTAGTAATTTGGGAATCGAGCTTTGGTGACAGGTCAAGATAGATGGCCGCAGCATGAGAAAGCCTCAACCCTAATCCAGTAGTCCAAGTGCAAATGAACGCATCATGCGAACCATGAAACCCCTAATTATATGCTCGTCATCATTACTCTATCTCGCGCGCCGCACAAAAAGCCTACATGTCGGAAAAACCAAAAACGATTAAATCGCACCAGATTGCCGTTCTCTTGGGCTCGTCTAAACCTTTCATATTGTAACTTCTCTAAACCAGCATGTGGCGTCCCAACACTCACGAAGTGACCATAAATAATAGTATCTTTCAATTGTGGCCATTCAAAACCTGCAGAGCCACGGAAATAAACCAGCTAAGAGCTTTAAGTCCTCTTTCTCCTGAATCGCCGCAACTCTGCGCCTCTCCCCTACTCTACAGCTTGTCAAATCAACTCGTCTCATCTCCTGCCATGTAAGCTCAAATCCTCGGAATCGGTCAAATTCTTCATTGAAAACTTAGGACCAAGCTATTCAATCTACTTCCAACCTATTCAACCTTCTGCAATCCTGACAATCCAACCCCCCCCCCTGCCATCCATGCAGCTCACAATCTCCTCCAAATTCAATTACAACCTACAATACCAGTCCGCCACCAAAGGAACGCTCAATTGTCTCCTAGTACATAATCCACAGTTGCTACCCTCCCGAACCTTCCCCGCTTCTTTAAACACTCACCGCATACAAAGGATTCCCCCTCCGCATCAACCCCGCCAAAATCTCAGAAAACGTTGCCAAACCCGTGTAAAACCCTCCCCGCCCGCCCAATCATGCCAAAAACTCTCCACTTCCAAGTTCGCACACAAAGAGAGCACCAGCCCTGCTCTCGCAGATCATTTCCAAACACGGAATAACTTCCATAATGTCAAGAAAACTCAAAACCCTAGCTCGTATTCCTGAAAACGCGACAACTACACTCCAGGACAGTAGCCTTGCACGATTAGAAGGCAGGAAAGAACGCTGAAGCTCAACAAGACAAGGAGAAGGACAGCCATGGGATATGTGGAAACCCTAGAAAAAATGGCCAGGAAGGATCCGAGGAGCAGCAATGGCATCGGGGGAATGGCGACAGGGGGGGGGGATGGAAGGAAGGAGGCATCCGGGAATGGCGACGAGGGGTGATGGATGGGTGATGATGGAATGGAAGGAAGCACACAATTGAGAATTGTTGCGGGGTAAGGGTGGTTGGTGGGTCTGGGTCTGTCTGACCCCGTGTGGTGCGGTGTGGAGTGGTGGTGGTGTGCTTGCCTGCTGGCGATGATGATGCTCTCTACTCCTCCATATCTGCCTCTGTCCATCCCTCCCGGCCAGCCTCTCAGCCAGCACAGCCAGCATGGTTGCAGCTGGCACCGCCAGTGTCTCCGACCCGCATCCGCCTCCCCTCAGCCCCCGTTCTCCTCCGTCCCGAGAGGAGGCGGGTGTTCCCGGGACAATCTCGGGAGGAGGTGTGGTGGTGGTCGGGGGGGGGGGTTGGTGTCGTGGACTCCACCTCCACCTGACTGACTGACTCCGTTCTAATCCATCCATCCATCCATCCATCCATCCATAGTCTTCTAGCGCATCTTCTTCTTCATCGTTAGTCCATTGGTGGGGGTGGGGGTGGGGGTGGGGGTGGTGGCTCCCCTGGCTCACTCATGAAGGCAGGCAGGCTACCCCGCCATCCAGCTACAGGCTGTGCGTGCGCATCCATTCATCCATCCGTAGCCAGGCTCTGAGGGGGGGGGGAGGAGGGGAGGAATCCTGAATAGATAGATACGCATCATTCCCCACCCCCTCTCCCTTTTCTCAGGTGGGTGGGAAGGAAGGTCATGAGGGCATCCATCCGGGGTCCCACAGAGACTTTTTTTGTGTCTCTTTCTTATAATCTATTTGTGCCTCATCTTTTGGGTTTAGGGTCTAATTATTTCGCCACCATGATGTTTATTCTCCTTTCCGTCACAAATTTCATTGCCTATATATCTAAAAATAGTAATAATAATATTAGTTAATAACAATACAATGTGCATCTTAGATTGCTAATTAGCAACAAAGTGCAAATGTTTTTATTGAGTGCAAGTTGAATATGAAGTGACAAGATTTTTTTTTTTTTTTTTTTTTTTCCTTTTCTTTTCCTCTTTTGATGTTTGTGCAATTGGTTTGGAGGAATAAAAGCACTTCAAAGATTCTTCCAAATGTATTTTCAGTGTTAGTTCATCAAAAAATGGCATGTATAACAAATTATTTGTGAATATATTTTTGTATTTGGCATTACCCTCTTACACAAGGGAAAAAAACATAACTCAAAATAGGACTGTTTTCTAATTTTAAAAATGCCTAAAAAATACAATTGCAACATACTAATTATTTAGGTCCAAAAAGTGCCTTTTCCATCACAATCCAAACTTTTATTCTTTTTGTACAATTGTTCAATTCATCATCATCTTGAACTAAATAGTCAGGTATAAAAAATTACACCATTTTTTAAGCAATATATAATTTTATTACAAAGTAAGTGTTGGCACATGATAATATGTTTTTAAAACCATTTAATTTTACTCTTAAATTCTAGAGTTGTAAATAGTTTTCTAAGGTGTTCATATAATTATATGAAAAAATATTTGAATATCCTACAAGATTTGAAGTGATGATTTTATTATAATCTTAAAACTAGATAAATATATAATTTAGCTCAATCAAACGACCACAACATTATCATATCCCTTTACAACATTCCATGTTAACAACCTTATTAAGTGATTATTTCTTAAAACTATTGTAATATCACTTCTTTAAAGGTCAAATAATAAAGCATTTATCATGGTTCATCAAACTTTAAAACAATAATAGTAATACTAGTTAATAACAATACAATGTACATCTTAGATTGCTATTAACATGTGTTGTTTAAAATTTTCAATGGTTTACAATGCAAAATAGATTAAAGGATTGTGTTTAAAAAATATGGGTTTTCATGAAGCTGTTTAGAAGATCTCCCATGTTGAACTATGGCTTTACTAAATGCGCTAAATCATATTCCTCTTCTAGTTGTGCAAGATTACTATAAGAAATAACTAAATCAATAAGAACAAAATAATATATATATATATATATATATAGATATATTCTATACAGTTCTTATTGATTTCACATTGGAGATTGTCAAGTCTATTGGCAATCTTACTAAATTTTAAAATTGTTGTAAAGGCTTATACTAGCATACAATGTAACTCCATGGTTAAAATTAATTAATTATTTTTTTCAATAAATAAACAATTAAATATTTGTTGAATGTTTCAATTTAACAAACTCGTTTTGTGTCCTAGTTAGTAAAAATCAAAATATTTGTAATTCAATTAAAATTTTTAGAAATTACTATAAATAAAATTATTATTATTTCTAAAATAATAATATTTTGTTTATAAAGAATGTAAAAAAATAGAAGCTTTGTTTGTTTGTTTGTTTGTTTGTTTGTTTGTTTGTTTTGTTTTGTTTTGTTTTTTTTGTTTGTTTTTGTTTTTTTTTTTTTTTTGCATACATTTATAATATTTGTTATATTAGTTTGAATTTTATGCAACTGAAATGTTTTATTATACATAAAATTATTTGATTTTTATGAAACTCGTTTTAACTTTTAAGTTGAAAATAGTCATAAATTATTTTTTAAAATACGTTTGATCTTTGAAATAGAATTTTAAGATTTTATTTAATATTTTATAAATAATTTAGGATTTAAAATTACTTAAATTTAATATGTGTAAAATTACCTATTACGAAAATTTTTAATAATTTATTATATAAAAATTAATTAAGGAATTAAATTTTTTTATACAAAATAATTTAAGAGGTGATTGTCTAAAAAAAATATTATAAATATAAGAAAATTTTAATTCTACAAATAATCTTATAAAAAGTGATAATTAATAATAAGTTAAATATAAAAAAACTACTTTATTTAATATATCATATTATAAAATATTTCCACTCATGCATTTTTACTTCTTCATTTAATTTTTTCATATAATTATACTACTTAAATATTTTAATTGATTTATTTGATTCCATATTACTTGAAAGACATATATATATATATATATATATATATATATATATGAGAATATCAAAACGATAAATTTTAAATATTATATCAAATTAAAATATTAGATACATATAGTTATACAATCATAAAATAATATAATGAATTTTCTGTTTTTTATTAAAAAAGTAATCCTAAAATTGTGAAGAAAAATAAAAATAAAATCTAAAAGTCTTAATTACAATAACTTCATAGAATTCATATATATATATATATATATATATATATATATATATGAACTATAATTTATCATTTTAATTTCTTATGCACTATAAGTATTTGGAATCCTCAAATTTATCATTTTTTATTTTAAAAAATATTAAATGATAAATTCTAAAATATAGTAAAAAGTTATTAATCAAATTTTAGCTATTGAGAAGATTAATTGTATTGGATCTTCAAAAAATACAAGATTATATTATAAATAAAAAGTGATTATTATATAGATATTTCTTATAATCTATTTTATTTTTGTTAATTAGGACATCATTAAAATTACTAAAAAAATCTATTACTTTAATTTTTATAAGAAATATAATATATCATATTTATAATATTTATTATTTAATAGTATCATTAAATAAATTACTTAATAAATATTCATAAATATAGTTATTATATTTGAATTTAGATTTAATAAATTTTATTTATTTTATTTTGTCTTTAAAATAAAAAATAGTAGATAAAACAAAGCCTTTAATAAAATACAATGCTTGCGAACTAAGAATTTAAGTTGTAGAATATTTTTATATATTTTTTGTTTAGAGTAGAAAATTTCAATAAAATAATCATGATAGCTTCATGTTAAGGACATAAATCTCGAAGAAAGAAAATCCTCACTATATTCTTGTATCTTTGAAAGGAACTAGAAAGTCACTCAAAGATGATATAATATTGAATTAGAATGGCTATTGCCAAAAACAAGAAGACCAAAAAGTCTTGAAACAAGACTAAAGACTAGAAAGACATTGACAAGAGTGAAAAAAGCTTCACTCTTATCTCCATATATATTATAATAGTGTATAGATAAGATAATTATTTAGATAATTAGAACCAATGAAGTTTCTAGAATTGAGGTCTAGTTAGTAGATTAGGTAGGATCTACCATAGAACATTCTAAAAAAGATGTACAACGATTATTTAGGTAGGGCCTACCAAGGAACCTTCTAGAAAAAGAATTTAAGGTAGTTATCTAGGTGGAGTCTATTACCTAAGAACATTCTAGAAAGCCCAGGGTGGTAGGACAAGGTATTAATATGACTAACCAAGGCCTTTTGGAGCAACTGGACATATATGGTTTCAGATCCTTTCTCTTTGTAAAGTTTGGTTTTGCATCCTTTTGTTCATTTCTATTCTATTCTATTTATATTTGCTTAGGTATCTTTCATATCCTATTTGGTGTAGTTCCATTCAGTTCTATTCTGATCTTTTTTATCCCATTTTGTGATGAAATATTATATTGATATAGAATAGAAAAATCTTAGGTTTTTGAAATACTATGGTCTTGTTTCATTGATATGAGAGCAAGTCTTAGAATGTTTATTTTTGGTAGCATATCAATAATCATCATATGGTCTAATGTCAATTATTGTGGTTATATTCGGTACTGTGTTGAGGCTACTACGAGCTACTCTTAAAAAGTCAATTGGAAGGTGAAAAGATATTATAATAGTGGAGTCTAGTAGAGAAATTATAATATAAGAGATATGGCGAAGCAATCCTAGATGGAGGCTCAAATACAACACCTCTTAGGCCAGATAACTACTTTGCAAGGGCAAATAGAAGCCTCAAAGACAAGAAAATTGACATCTACTAAGTTGAAATTGAATAAGCCTAATACATATTTTGCAACTTCAAGACAAGAAAATATATATCAATGGCTCTTCAACATGCAATAATACCTCTGTTAGGGACATAGTCCTTAGTACCTTCTAGAGACAAGTTTCTAGAACCTTCTAGAAACAAGTCTCTGAAACCTTCTAGAAGCTTCTTAGTTGGTAG